AAATATAGCAGTTTTACAAAATTGTTAAAATGTAAATTTTTAGCTATTTATTGGAAAGAAGAATACTTCAGTTCCCTAAATATGGGCTGTTTTTGACAATACAATGCACATGTAGCGGGTACTAGCATCATTAAGTCATGCTAAATTACTGAAATCTTCGAAATTTTAGCATTTTGGTTAATTTTTAGACGGTTTCCGTTTGAAATGGAAGTGGCCGCATTTGTGTTCATTCTTAATATTTAAATGTAAGTTGTATTTGATGATAATACATAACATATATAAAGGTTGAGAATGAACACGGATGCGGCCACTTTCATTTTTGACAAAAACCATCTGAAAAGTGACATATTATGGCATATTTGATAGATTTTTTTCATATTTAAGCTTGAATTTGAGCGTCTTTAATGACTAAATCAGTTCAAATCTTTCACATAAACTGATTGAATCGACTGAAGTAGACACTTAAGTGTTTAAAAAGTGTCCAAAATCTTTCATCAGATGAACTTGAATTTTGAGGCCAAAATCGGCCCTTACCGGACCTACTCCTTTCCTTAAATCAGTTCTTCATTTTTGTGCACTATGAAATTTATAGCCTGCATTTTGTTTGGCAATTTATTCATTTTTCATTCTGTTTATGGCAAAGTTGTTTATTTTCTCCTATTCTGAAGTCATTGTTTTTTTCTTCTTTTAAGGGTGGCGTGCCAAAGATGAACGAATGCAGTCAATTTACAAAAGGAGTAAAATTTTCCTAGTAAAGGAAACCTTCTGGTCGTAATATTATGAATGAGCTTCATGCATCTGTTGTCGTTTCAGACTACGCTTCTCATTCAAAACATGAACCTAATTCATTTTTAAATTAAAATCGTATTAAGGACATTTCAATGGTGACTGCAAAAGATATATATATATACAAGTCTAAATTGAAAACAACGTTCAAACCTATGAGTGCGTTGGATAAAAACCGCAATTTTTATACGTGTGCATGCAAAACAAATTTCTTGTTAGAGGGGTCTAAATACAGCACAAACAACATTTTCCAAAAGACCAAAAAAGTGAAAAAGTATATTTTAACAAAACGCATTTGACTAACAGGTTGAACAACAAATGTTCTTAAACCCTGCTGACTGCCATTGGCGATTGCCAAATAAACAGATCACCGATGTAATAAATGGATCTTAATTATAAATTTAATACTAAACAGAAAACAATAAACTTGCGGAAAAGATGATTTACCGCAAACAAAAGGTGCAAAGGTTTTTGTACACCATATCCGGATTTCGACAATTAATGTCTCTTCAGTGATATTAGGAATCTAAACGGTATTTGGAAAGCCATACAATTTACCTCAATTTAGGATAGACTCTTGAATTTTGAAGAGTCAAAATAGGATGAACGGATCATATAAATATATATATTTGATAATAAAAGATTTTATTTACACCAAGGATTTGTAAATGTATTACACATAAACAATCTTACTTTTAAACTGCCATCTCTTTACCCCAGAATAAAAAAGACAAAAACCACTACAAATGATTAAAAGACAAAAACCACTACAAATGATTGTCTCGTGGAAATAAGGTTATAAAATTTTTTTTAAATAGTGTCTTCCATGTTGCTTTGATGTATGACCTTCGGCTCCCACTTCAATGTTGAGTTTTTTTATAGATTTTTTGTTGCTTCGAGGACACACATATCCATCTATGTATGCAGTATTGTCAATTGTTTTTGTTGGTGGGTCTCTCGCTTATGTCTTCGTCACTTTCACTATCAACAAAGAGTTCGTTATCAGTTTATTCAACTAGGAGAATATCTAAGTTGTAACTATTAAGATTGTCATCCCACGAAATAAAATCGGAATTTTCCATATTGCGTGCACATGAATGAAGCTTTATTCAAATGAGAAATTAATTGTAATTTTCTTAAATATTAATTCTCAATACACACTTCAAACATGAAGAAACCATAAATTTACCGACAATCAATTAAAAAACAACTCAATGCAAGCCTATGATGAAACTGTCAAACAACACTTAGAAATCAAACATTTACCGACAATCCCACAGAAAAAACTCAATGCAAGCCCAATTAATGATGAATATAAATATAAATAAAATTTTAATAATTTATAAATATCAAGAATAAAAAACAAAGCCTTTCATGATTAACAATTAATTAACAAATAAATTAAGTTTTTTTCCACATTAATTAATTTTACATTTTGTGAATTGTATTTTTGGAAATCGTGTGTGGACACCTGTGGTGTAACAAGTATCTTGTCTTGGGGAGAGATAAATCCTACTTTGTAAAGAATCACTCTGATTCAAACAAAAAATTCTCTGAAACTGACATTATCAAGATGCTTGATTTCTTGATTGACAACATATTTGTTACGTTTGGAGGACGTGTTTTTCAACAGACTGTCGGAATTCCAATGGGAACTAATTGTGCCCCTCTTCTTGCCGACTTGTTTCTTTATTATTATGAGGCTGACTTCATACAGGAACTTCTTAAGAAGAAAGATAAGAAGTTAGCAATATCCTTTAACTCTACGTTCCGCTATATAGATGATGTTCTCTCACTAAATAATACAAAATTTGGTGACTATGTTGAATGAATCTATCCCATCGAACTAGAGATAAAGGATACTACAGATACAGTTAAGTCTGCCTCATATCTTGACTTACATCTAGAAATTGACAATGAGGGTCGGTTGAAAACAAAACTTTACGACAAAAGAGATGATTTCAGCTTCCCAATTGTGAACTTTCCATTTCTATGTAGCAACATTCCAGCAGCGCCTGCATACGGAGTATATATCTCTCAATTGATACGATATTCCCCGGCTTGTGTTTCCTATCATGATTTCCTTGATAGAGGATTGCTGCTCACAAGGAAGCTATTAAACCAAGAGTTCAAAATGGTGAAGTTGAAATCATCCCTTCGTAAATTTTACGGACGCCATCACAAGTTGGTTGACCGTTATGGAATAACCGTTTCACAGATGATATCGGATATGTTCCTTATGTAGTAACTACAATACCCTTCCCTTTTCACGAATGTGACTTACCAAATTAGACTATTTACCGGATTTGTAATAACATAAGCCACACGACGGGTGCCACATGTGGAGCAGGATCTGCTTACCCTTCCGGAGTACCTGAGATCACCCCCAGTTTTTGGTGGGGTTCGTGTTGCTTAGTCTTTAGTTTTCTATGTTGTGTCATCTGTACTATTATTTGTCTGTTTGTCTTTTTATTTTTGGCCATGGCGTTGTCAGTTTGTTTTTCGATCTATGAGTTTGACTGTCCCTCTGGTATCTTTCGTCCCTCTTTTCTTGTTTACAAGGTGTCAATTAAAACTCATCATTTATAACATGTTCGTGATTTACCTGGTCATCGAATAATTCAAACCTAATATACATGTCACACTGTGAAATTATGTCTCCGAGACAGGTGTATATTCAATAGAAACCCATTATGAAACTATCAAATAAAATGAACTCTGATACAATTTATCAAGTGTTAATTATTTACTATCAGTTTTTTTTTAATACAATATCAAATTATGTCTCTTTTTCAATAATACAAATCTAAAATCAAAATTACATTAAAATAAATAATTATATATGAACTCAAATTATGTAATTAATTATGATAAATTTAACACTGAAACAGTTTATGTTATGCTTAAACATTCGTCATTACTTCGAGTACTTTTAATACTTTTATTCACATCTTTATTACCTAAGGAGATCTCGCGAGGTTTAACTAGTGGCCGTGTGTTTTTAAGGGATTTCGCCGAGTTGCAAATCTCTTGTATTATATGTCTCTGATAGAAGTATGATGTTCTGACATAAACTGTTATATTGACCTTGCATCTATATCAGCCCTAGACTCTTTAGGGCAAAATCCCGCTGTCAAAACCTTTACCTTCGTTTTCAAAGGTATCAATGATTTTTTTAGTAGTTTTGAAGATTTTGGATGCATAATTAAATATCACCCTGGTGCACATGTGAAAACTGTGTACAACGTGGTTGTGACAATTTTTTGCTTAAAACCTTTATTACTACCTTTTTAAATGTATCATCAAATGAAATTTTGATACAAATTCGGATAGACTATATTATATAGATGCAAACCAGTGAAATTTAAGAAAATAACTTTAAATAGACCAATTGAGGTCTGGTAAAAAATAGGTTACTTGTTGCCTGAACAGGTAAATTTCAGCTGTCAGACAACTAATTAACCTTGATTGGGATAAGGGGTATGAAAGTAGGCTTGTTTTTATTATAATTATTCATCATGTCACTTTAAATATGACCAGAAACATTTGGCTGTTTAAGATAAAAGGTCAGGTCAAAAAGATCTCATTAACTTCAATTTTTTTCTGAATGATTCGAAAATAGCAAACCCAAGTTATTTGGCATGAAATTATGTTCTGTTTTACGTCTTATTTTGTACTCATTTAAAAAGGGAGGTGCTGATTGTGTAAGTCAATCTAAAAGCATGTGTTCGACTTGTTAAACTTTTTTCTCTTCGTAACTGGATTTTAAAGTTTATTTTTTAATCTAAATTTTCATTAGCATTTGCTGAAACGTAATTAAATAATGCAATTAATCGTCTATCTAGATCTTGATAAAGTGTTCTCCTGTCAGGTGTGTTGATTTACCTGTACAATAGATTAGCGATCTGTAGCCGGATATCCCTCAGGGCTTTACAACTGTAATCAGGTCCCTTTGGATTATAATACAATAAGGGTCATGCAATTACATGCAGTTGATTATAATTGCTAAGAAAAATTATGGAGGTTAGCCAAACGAAAACAAATTTTGACAATAGCAGGGATCTTTTAAGGATGGCGAAAAATAATTTAACGATGGCAGGGATCATTTGACGATGGCTGAAGATAATTTAAAGATGGCGGTGCGCCATCATAAAAACAGGTCATGGAGATCCCTGCCAATTATATCATGTAGCAATGATATATATTACACTTACCTGGCCAAGACTTTCTGTAGGCGATGCTATAATTTTTAACTGATAGGAACACGTTGGATCTTTATAAATTCTTAGCTCTACACTTTCATTATTATCCTCCACTGGTGATGCTAGACTCTGCAGTTTTATAGACAGGTTTCCTATTTCATTTAGCCTGAAAGTACAACATACAACTGCTGTTGGTTTCTTCATAGTGTCACCGTCTGATTATTTGAGTTGTACATATATAATATATAGTAATGATGACAATCTAATAAAATACTGTTGTTGGACTGCATGTCTAAAGGTAATGAATGATTGTCAAACTTATGATGAGTACAGCTCTTAATGAAATCTCTTTTCTTCTAGTTAGGCAGGAAAATAGCACTGGACTTGATTCCTGTTTTCTTACTGCTTTAACCTAAGTTTCCTATGTAGTGCATTACATCCTTTAACCATTGCACACAAGAATAATCAACTAGAGGCTCCAAAAAACCTGCACTGCTCACCTGCTATCTATGCATAATATTTATGTTCCTGTAAGATTTTAAAATTTCAAAAGGAGATTACTTCTGAAAAATTAAGTAATCGGCTTTGCTTTGTTTACCTCAATCTACTTAAGCTTCAAAATATTTCCATATGTAGTTTCAGAGGTTGAGACTTTGGGAAATTGTCCAATCAGAAACAAAGATTGCATCCAGTGGCCACCTTTTTCAGTCAATCAATACCAGATGAAAGGAGTAGGTTCAATAAGGCCCTAAAATGGCCGATATTTCTAGGTAATATACAAAATTAGGATTTACTGACACAATGAATCATGCATAGCTTAAACAATGACTTGATAGGAAATATGTGTATTGGACTGATAATAGCACACAATTTATTTTTTCCAAAAAAATTCAATGGAAACTGGTAAATTTCCATTGATTTTTTTATGGTAAACATGGAGTGCATGAGTCTACAAAAAAGATCTTTTAACATCTTGCCATAACATTTAACATATCTAAATTGAATATTTAATTTTTGGAAGCTTTTTGGGTTGTAAATTTTAATGCTTTTCATGAAAAGTTGTACAAATATAGTTCTAATTTTACATGTCTTTTCATCAACTTGAAACATTGGACTTAATATTCAGGGCCAAATGTGACTCTTATTGCACATACCTCTTTGCTTGTAGATGACCTTTCATACATTATTCCTGCCAATATTAGTCAAATTGGCCAAGTAATTTCAGTCTGAGGTTCCAAAGAGCTTGTGTCACTGACCTGGATTTTTGAACCAATGCATGCATATATACTTAACTAAGTCCTCTATGCACAGTTTTTATATCTATTATAAATCCATAAAGTATAATCCACCAAAAATATGCCATTCAGTGATTGTTGATCCCTATACTAATTAATTGTTAATAAAAAATCAACACAATCATGGAGCACATTATAAGTGATATGATAGAGCGATGTTAATTATTTCTATATTTTCCCCAAAAAAACCAAACCCAAAATTGATAAAAATTGTCTTTCAAAGGAAATAACTCCTATAAGGGGTCAATTTAAGATTACTGCCATGTTGATTTATTTGTAGATCTTATTTCACTGAACATTTTTTGCTATTCACATTTTCTCTCTATCAATTATCAGTTTCTTGAAAAATACAACAAAAAAGGTTAAAATTTGTCATTCAAGGGCAATAACTCCTCCATCGAATCAATTGACAATTTTGGCCATGTTGACTTATGACTTTGCTGCTTCAAGTTTTTCACTACCTTATAGTTTCTGCAAAAAATGCAAAAAAAAATTGGGAAAAAAACATCCATCAAGGCCAATTACTCCAACAATGGGTCAATTCACGATTTCAGGCATGTTGACATTTTTTTGTATACATTTTGTATCTTACATTATTGCTGAAGATTTCTACTATTTTAAAACTTATTATAGATAGATAAATATTCTCTATCTTCTATGATCATTTCCGAAAAAAAAATATTATTCAAGGGCAATAATTCCAATACATACAGAATGTGGCGGGGTCAAACATGTTTGTGAGTGCTCAACCCTACCCTAACCTGGGACAGTGGTGTTTTACATATTTGTTATCTTATTGTTCTGTTCATTTTTATTATTTATCTGTCTATACTAATTTTTAAAATATTAACCAATAAAGAGCTGCGCCATGAACGCATGATACACCTGTCACTTTTTCAACAAATAAAGTTCCATAACTCCTCAATTTCATATTAGAAATTTATAAAAAAAATAAAAAGCTCCGCTGGGGGCAGCTTGATACGACCGCAGAGATCGAACCCTGAACAGTTGGGGCAAGTATGGACATAACATTCAAGCTTGATACAGCTCTGAATTTGGATTGTGATTAAATATTTGACACAGCATAGGTTTCTGACACAGAATGAATGTGGTCTAAGAACTTAAATTTTTTTAATTTACCTATTATGGTCCAATATCCAAAATCTAAATACATGGTTAGATTCAGCATATCAAAGAATCCAAAGTTTAATTTTGGACCCTTTTGACCTCAATGTGGACCAATTTGATAACGGGGCCCAAAAATCAAAAATCTAAATACAATGTACATGTTTAGATTCAGCATATCAAAGGATCCCAAGAATTCGATTTTTTTGGTAAAAATCAAACTAAGTTAAATTTTGGACCCTTTGGACCTTAATGTAGACCAATTAAAAAACGGGACCCAATATCAAAAATCTAAAAACACGGTTAGACTTGGTATATCAAAGAACCCCAATAATTCAATTTTTGATGAAATCAAACAAAGCTTAATTTTGGACCCTTTTGACCTCAATATGAACCAATTTGATAGTGTGGCCCACAAATAAAAAAATCTAAATACATGGTTAGATTCAGCATATCAAAGAACCCCATATATTAAATTTTTGTTGAAATCAAACAAAGTTTAATTTTGGACTCCATCTTGGACCAACTTGAAAACTGGGCCTAAAATATAAAATCTAAATACATGTTTAGATTCAGCATATTAACAAACCCCAAGAATTCAATTTTTGTTAAAATCAAACTAAGTTTAATTTTGGACCGAAAAAAAAATCCCCCCCCCCCAATTTTTTGAACCACCTTATGATTTATCACCCCCAAACTCAATCCCAGCCTTTCCTTTGTGGTATGGTATCTTGCAGTACAATTTCAGAGAGATCCATACACTTGAACACAAGTTATGGTCTGGAAACTAGAAAATTGCTTGTTTTTTGGCCCCTTTTTGGCCCCAAATTCCTAAACGTTTAGGGCAATTACCCCCAAACTCAAACCCAGCTTTCCCTTTGTGATATGGAACCTTGTAGTACAATTTCATAAAGATCCATACACTTACACACAAGTTATTGTCCTGAAACTAGAAAAATACTTGTTTTTTGGCCCCTTATTCCTAAAATTTTGAGGCAATTACCCCCAAAATCAATCCCAGCCTTCCCTTTGTGGTATGGTACCTTGCAGTACAATTTCAGAGAGATCCATACACTTGAACACAAGTTATTGTCTGGAAACTATAAAAATGCTTATTTTTGGCCCTTTTTTGGCCCTTTATTCCTAAACGTTTTGGGAAATTACCCCCAAACTCAATTCCAGCTTTCCCTTTGTGATATGGAACCTTATAGTACAATTTCAGAAAGATCCATACACTAACACACAAGTTATTGTCATGAAACCAGAAAAATGCTTGTTTTTTGCCCCTTTTTTGGCCGCTAATTCCTAAAATTTTGAGGGAATTACCCCCAAAATCAATCCCAGCATTCCCTTTGTGATATGGAACCTTGTGGTACAATGTCAGAGAGATCCATACACTAATTTTCCTTTTTTAGACGGCGATGTTCCTTTGGCTCCATCATACGGTGTATATATATCCCAACTCGTTCGTTATGCCCGTGTGTGTAGTGATGTCATAGATTTTAATGAACGTAATCAATGCATCACTGGTAAATTATTAAATCAAGGATTTCGTTACCATAAATTACGTAAAACTTTTGCTAAGTTCTTTCGTAGATACAAAGATTTGATTAGTAAATTTGGCTGTACTTGTAGAAAACTGATTAAAAACAGTCACATCCTAAATTTTACGGTAATATTGTACTTAAAGCGCGGAAATCACTATGTGATCCGTGTAAACTCACCGAACCTTTAAACAGGCTTATTAGTAAAGGTTATCTTACCAATGTTGTAATAAGATCTTTGAATATAGTTTACATTGGCACTAATATCGATTTTGTCATCAGCAAATTAAAACATAACTAAATTTGTATATTTTTCAAGTGGGATGTATAAAGACACACCCACGTTCGTTTAGATCTATAAAGAGGTTAAACTCCTAACTATCCTACTGTCTGTCGATACATTTATTTTTGGCATTGCACTAGTCATGTCTTCTTTGACTGTCCATGACGTTAAAATACTAAATCCCTGGGATGTGTTTTAGTTGATTTTAGTCTCTGATGCATGATTTTTTTATTATTAATTGTTTTGGCTTTTAACTAGCTGTCAGTAACTGCGAGTACTCAAAATCGTACTTTCTTGTTTATTTGACCTGTTGATACTAATTGTATTGCTTTTTTGTTATTTAATGTTATTCAGGGTTATATCTGGTCTATATACCAGCTTTGATAAGTGTTTGGTATAACTATAAATTTTCACTTCGTACTATGAACATCAAAATTATTTATTTTGTAATAATATTTCCTTTCTCTATTGGTACTGTACACGTATACCTTAAACAATAAAATTATTTTCATTTACCTGTGTTTAAAGTTATTGCAAATGGATGGTATTTTTGTTCGAGCATATTGTTTTTCTTTAATTGTTTAACATTTCTTACCGACATAACATGTTACTTTTATTATTCTTCCCTTACTTTATTTATTTTGTATTCAAAATTAATAAAAATATTTCCTTTCTCTATTGGTACTGTACAGGTATACCTAACAACAAAATTATTTTCATTTACCTGTGTTGAAAGTTATTGCAAATGGATGGTATTTTTGTTTGAACATATTGTTTTTCTTTAATTGTTTAACATTTCTTACCGATATAACATGTTACTTTTATTATTCTTCCCTTAGTTTATTTATTTTGTATTTATATTGTGTCATAGGTCAAATTTATTTGTTCAGTGTATGTTCAATGGTGTTAATATGTCCTT